AGTTGAAGAGTTCAACGTGTGTGTGCATGCAAGCGCTAGATGTATGGCCGTGAGAGGTGGACTTTTATCCTGCAGTGGATAGACCATGGCTGACGATGACGAACCGCACGCGAACACAGCAGTGTTTTCATTTCTCAGCCTCTACTGTTAATTAAACAAAATCCCGGGGCCGTAACCGAGGGGTGAGATTCTGCAGATCTGAGCGGCTGCAAGCATCTCTCGCCCCAAGCAAGCACGTTCGGCATGACGCGTATCGAATCACTGCCTCGAGACGTTTTTTTTTTCAGTTTCATTTATTTGGTATAGCCCTGTGAGCCATTCGGCTCTTGAATCGGGTGCAAATGCAACAAACAAAAAACAAAAACATGAACAAGAAAACATCTTAAAGTGACTATGTGCAAACAGAAAATCCAAGAAAGGACAGCAAAATATTGCATAAAAAGCACCGTACACCAACGCTGTGTGCAAATATCCCAGTGGGATGCAAGCCAAACAACAACCACAATACAACTTAGATTAAGGCCATCAGTCTAACTCCGTACTACAACAAACAAACATGGCCAAACAAAAAAAACATTTTCGAAATCACCAAAATAAATCCATAAAAGCAATGTAACAGTGATCATAGGAACTGTGACCGAATTTTACAATGTGAGCACTTGCTGTGGAAACTTGCAGAGCACCAAGCGCTTCAGCTCAGCCGTGCTGCACTTCAAAGTTCCACTGGCTCTGCTTCCCAAAACCACAATCCAGGAGCTCACTGCACCATTTTCTGGCTTGTGATGAAGTCGACATTACTGCTATAATAATAATAAAGACGTATGTATGTATGACTTGTTTCGCACCGTACGTAGCCAACTGTGCTAATCGGAGGTGCGGGGGAAGGACAACAAACTAAACACAAAAAGCAGTTCTACAGATATGAGTTTGTCAATCTAGACGATAATTTAAAAGTGCATAGCTCCAGTGGCGTCCTAATATCGGAGGGAAGAGCGTTCCAGACGGCCGCGGAATAGCATCTGAAAGCGCTGCGCGATGCAAGTGACCGTCTTTGTTCCATGGCGAGCAACGACCATCCATTTAAATTTCGATTTAAAGCTTTCGTGACTGCAGGGATTCATCGTCTTGGTTCTTTCGGTGAAGTCACGTAGAAGGGAAGTAATAATATAATAAAATAAAACATAATAAAAGAATTCTCACGACGTCTCGGCCACAACGCAAGCAGCCGTCCTCAGGTGAAGAACAGGTCTGTCGGGGAGACAGGGTCTTCACCTGAGGACGGCTGCTTGCGTTGTGGCCGAAACGTCGTGAGAATTATTTTATTATGTTTTATTTTTATTATTTATTACTTCCCTTCTACGTGACTTTACCGAAAGAACCAAGAAGAAGACCATCCATTTGTCAATCCACTGCTGGATGATGGGCACAGCCGGGCGGTAGTGACGCACACGCACCTGTATTCCAGCAGTGTCGGTGGCCGTAGCGAGGGTTGGTGGGTCACTGCACAGACGCCGTGAAACTCCCTTCCCGTGGTCGTCGAGGAGGTGACACGAGAAGGCGCGACATCAAAAATTGTGGACTTCCACCTGTTCCCTTTGTGTGGGATAGAGTGTTGCACCCTCGCACTCGTGGGTTTTCGCCAGGTGCTCCGGTGTCTTTCCACATGTGAGAATACTCATTCAAATGTCGATAACCCCTTAATATGTTGAGGGACCGCAGAGCTGTGGAGGGGGGAAATCTAGCGCAGGCTCACTGCCTCGCTGCCGTTCCCCACTCGTCTGCGGTTCCTCCTCGCGCCCTCTGCGTCGTCATCTCCCGTGTACATCACACGGTGCACAAATAACAAGAGCGCTCAGACACATTCGTCGTCAACAACGTGGCCTTAAAAAGGAACGAGTATATCATTGCCCACGTTCCGGGCATTGGCCATGTTCTTCACAGCACACACAGAGGCCAGGGAGGCAGAGTGGCCTCTCAACGTGCTGCGGTAAAGGGGCATTGCCCGAAACGTCTTTTTCAGGCAGTGTGAGTGACGAATGTGTCGAGGTTGCTTCGGCATAGAGCAGTGGTTTCTTCACCTGGGGTGTTCGCTGTACACCCTAGGGGTGCGAGATGACCTTTCTGGGGACGTGAGATGACCTTTCTGGGAGGGGGGGGGGGGGTGCGAGACATTGCCAGATTTTATTAGAAGGTAAATAATCGAAACACAAATTAAGTACGGGCACGTAAGTAAAACTACTTTGTTTCATCAAATCCCTATATATTTATTAACATTATACGTTTTAAAAAAAAATTACGATTGACAATCAAAGGGGTGCAAGGCTGCAGTAAAGGTTAAAAACTATACTCTTTGGTGTTGTCGGTAAAGTCACGTAGGTATAAAATAAAATAAATAACGACGTTTCGGGCGCAACACAAGCGTCCGTCATCAGGTGGGAAAGCATGGTCTGCTGCTAAGGTAGACTGTTTTAAAAGGTTTGAAATGGGTGTAGCCCATTTCCTCTACAATAGTTCAATCAATAGTTCAATAGTCTACAATAGTTCAATCAACTATTGTAGAGGAATCAAAAGTGTACGTGGAACTCGCTCGCCATCTGCTGGCCACATGGAGGCTTTGCAAATTTAGAATTTTTTTGCAAGGAAAATTGCACAAGATCCTGTGCAGAGCCATCGTGATGCCACCAATCCCAGGGGGGGCGTTTTCGTGCGGTGAATACCACGAAAGATTGCGTAGCGAAGTTGCATGATCTCTTCGAGGCCTCACACGTTTTGCCAACGCCTTGGCAGCTTGTGTGTTTTGTACATTTGTGGTTTAACACCGAGGAGGCTTTCGCGACCAATATCATTTCGTAATACAGTTTTTTTGGGGGGGTGAGATCGCGTAAATTTAGAAATGTGTCGTTAACCCTGCCACCATGCGACACGGCCAATTAGTAAGGTTTGTCACGTAAACAGAACGCGACAATTCGTTACTAGGACAGCACCACCGGTGTGTTGGAGAGAAAATCCACAACATTCACATTTGTCAATTTTTGTTTGCTTAATGCAGACGTGCTAGAAATGATTGTGCTGAATACTCCGGTTGTCACTAAAACCTTATTACGTCTTCTTGGTTCTTTCGGTAAAGTCACGTTGAAGGGAAATAATAAAATAATAAAAATAAAACATAATTGAATAATTCTCACGACGTTTCGGCCACAACGCAAGCAGCCGTCCTCAGGTGAAGACCAGGTCTGTCGGGGAGACAGCGTCTGAATGAAACACCACCACGCTTGGAGCGTATATTTAAGCTGGGTTGGAAGGGGAAGAGCGCCTTGACAACATAATTTGCATATCAAGAGGAATTTAGCATATTTATGGGAAATGCAGATATGGGATTAGTACTACTTGTGAAATGCGTAGGAGGTGGGCGGGGGGTTTCAAAGTCATATTATTACGTGTTTTCTCAGGATGTTAAACTCCACAAGAGAGCACTGATGTAAGAATTCACGATCATGTGCCGTGCTCTGTAAAGCAAAATGCCAAGGTTTTGAATGTGCTGCACGTACGTTCCTATGTCAGGGACCGAGCCTACCCAGAGGACAACCACTGTTGCATTCTAACAAAGTGGTACTTGTTTTGTATGTGTGTATGTTGAACTTCTTTCGCACCGTAAGTAGCTAACCGTGCTAATCGGAGGTGCGGGGGAAGGACAACATTCTAAACACAAAAATCAGTACTAAAGAAATTTGTTTTCAATTTAGATTATTTAAAAGTGCATAGCTCCAGTGGCTTCCTAATATCGGAAGAGCGTTCCAGACGGCCGCGGAAGCGCAATGCTGTGATCGTTTTTGTTCGATGGCCCAGCCATTGTGGGTTCATTTGTGGCAAAGCAACTTCGTGTGTAACGAGTTTGACCTTTTCATGTAATCGTGTGGCAACCGGAGGCCAATAAAATCTAAGAGGAGGTGCGGGGGAAGGTCAGCAAGTTTAAGTTGACAAATTAGTTTTTAAAAAATTAGTTTTCAATTTAGTTTGACTAATGTGATGAACTTGCGTGTTGGTTAAGAGACGAGGGGTTATTTTCCACAAGGCATGCAGACTGATTCACGAGGTCACATGTCCAAATAGGCTCGTGTTGCAAAAGTTAACAGTGCATTGTATTCGTGTAGTCCTTTGTTACATTTTCTCGAGATGCATTGTGGTCCTTGTCACGTGTGTGATTAAATTCCATACAGCACCACCAACGAAACGTACAAGTCCTACAAAGCAATGGGTTATACTGTACTGTCATAGAGCTTCACGATGCCCTGTGGTCCCTGTTAATTGTGGAATTACATCGCAAACGGCGTCACCAAATCAAAAGTACAGGTCCTACAAAGCACAGCGGTGCAAGGTTTCGAGATGCCATGTGGTCCTTGTACCTTGTGTAATTACATTCCACAAATGACCACAACTAATAGGGCAGGTCCTACAAAGCACAATGCTGTATGATTACATTCTACAAATCACCACAACTAATAGGACAGGTCCTACAAAGCACAACGCTGTATGATTACATTCCACAAATCACCACAACTAATAGTACAGGTCCTACAAAGCACAATGCTGTATGATTACATTCCACAAATCACCACAACTAATAGGACAGGTCCTACAAAGCACAACGCTGTATGATTACATTCCACAAATCACCACAATTAATAGTACAGATCCCTCGTGGTACCTTGTACCTTGTGTGATTACATTCTACAAATCACCCCATCTAATAGTACAGCTCCTACAATGCACAACGCTGTATGATTACATTCTACAAATCACCCCATCTAATAGTACAGGTCCTACAAAGCACAACGCTGTATGATTACATTCCACAAATCACCACATCTAATAGTACAGGTCCTACAAAGCACAACGCTGTATGATTACATTCCACAAATCACCACATCTAATAGTACAGGTCCTACAAGCACAATGCTGAATCCTCTCTGCCCTAAGGGACAACCTTTGACTCCATCCGGGTCCTGTTGGAGGGTGCCACCAACGGCGGCCTTTGCCTCGGTCGGAGTGTTTGTTGTTGTTGTTGGTTGTTGTTGTTGTCGTACACGCAATTAAGGAGCGTGCAAACCCGGGTTTGGATGAAGCTTCGCCTCCACTTTGTCTGCCTGTAGAGACCGCGGCGTCTCGATTAAGAAGCTGACGCGCTCGGGATGTAACCGGGGGAACGTTGCACGGGAAAAGCCCGACTCCCGCCGCGGAGCCTCGGCCTTGCCTAGATCGCCTACCGAGTTTGGTGCGAGGGAGGCGGCGGGCCGCGCGGGCATTAGGTGAGCGCTTTGGCTTATCACCCACCAACCACCTCGTGTCACCATCATCACCCGTGGTTTATCTTTGACCGTATCAAGGATATTGTTGTACTGTAGTGCTATGTGTGCGTGAAAGGAGGTTGGGGGGAGAGAGCCAGACGTGGTGGAGAGACACGGGAGAGTTCTGTACAGAGAGACGCAGAGAAGGAATTAGACATCGAGAGAGACAAAGGTGGATTTGGCGTGTGGACGGAGGGAGAAGAAGAGAGTTTGATGTAAACACGGGAAGTTGCACGCGAGAGAGATAGAGACGTTTGTGTTGACCAGGGTGGTGAAGTATAGTCAGACAGGCCGCCGCCACTCGGCCATGGAGATACGGGGACATGCCCCGTGACTTAAGAGGGGAGAAGACATCGAGAGATGCAATGATGTCGACAGAGACAGGTAGGATTAGGGTCAGCCAAGCAGAGACATCGGGGAAGACGAGGCGCGCACGGTCGGAGATTGACAGATGCGGAGACGAGACACAGAATCACAGTGGGGCACACACAGAAGCCAACATCGTCAGACATAGAACCACAGTGGGACATCTACAGAAGCAAACATCAGCAGACAGAGAGACACAGAAACACAGTGGGACAACTACAGAAGCAAACATAGGGAGACATAGAGACAGAACCACAGTGGGACATCCACGGAAACCAACATCGTCAGACAGAGAGACACAGAACCACAGTGGGACATCTACAGAAGCTAACATCGTCAGACAGAGACACAGAACCACAGTGGGACACACATAGAACCACAGTGGGACATCTACAGAAGCAAACATCGGCAGACAGAGACACAGAACCACAGTGGGACATCTACAGAAACCAACATCGTCAGACACAGAACCACAGTGGGACATCTACAGAAGCAAACATCAGCAGACACAGAACCACAGTGGGACAACTACAGAAGCCAACATCGTCAGACATAGAGACACAGAACCACAGTGGGACACGCACAGAACCACAGTGGGACATCTATAGAAGCAAACATCGGCAGACACAGAGACAAAGAACCACAGTGGGACATCTACAGAAGCCAACATCGCCAGACAGAGACACAGAACCACGGTGGGACAACTACAGAAGCCAACATCGGCAGACAGAGAGACACAACCACAGTGGGACATCTACAGAAGCCAACATCGTCAGACATAGAGACACAGAACCACAGTGGGACACACACAGAACCACAGTGGGACATCTACAGAAGCAAACATCGTCAGACATAGAGACACAGAACCACAGTGGGACATCTACAGAAGCCAACATCGTCAGACATAGAGGCACAGAACCACAGTGGGACACACACAGAACCACAGTGGGACATCTACAGAAGCAAACATCGTCAGACATAGAGACACAGAACCACAGTGGGACATCTACAGAAACAAACATCTGCAGACAGAGACACAGAACCACAGTGGGACACGCACAGAACTACAGTGGGACATCTACAGAAGCAAACATCGGCAGACAGAGACACAGAACCACAGTGGGACACACACAGAACCACAGTGGGACATCTATAGAGGCAAACATCGGCAGACACAGAGACACAGAACCACAGTGGGACATCTACAGAAGCAAACATCGTCAGACAGAGACACAGAAACACAGTGGGACACACACAGAACCACAATGGGACATCTACAGAAGCAAACATCGTCAGACATAGAGACACAGAACCACAGTGGGACACACAGAACCACAATGAGACATCTACAGAAACCAACATCGTCAGACATAGAGACACAGAACCACAGTGGAACACACACAGAACCACAGTGGGACATCTACAGAAGCAAACATCGTCAGACACAGAGACACAGAACCACAGTGGGACACACACACACAGAACCAGTGGGACATGTAAACACTTGCAGTATAAATGGAATGACAGCTGGGAATGAATGTTGTCTGTTAACCAAACGCAACCGATTTGCCCTGTTTTGACCTTACACGCAACGTGCACTCCGATTGCGTTGTGTGTGCGGGTTAGGTTCGTGCGGCACTGTGATGCCAAGATGCCGACGGTATGGCCCACCTTGCTCGACCTGGCCCGCGAGGAGTGCCTGGGCATACTTCGCAAGCTGGGTGAGCTGGGCTTGGTGGGAATTGGTGGGAAGTCACTTTGGGAGATGCCGGGAACGATGGGGAGATATTACGGTTGGAGATATTTTTTTTTGTAGACTTACAGTGGAAAAATTTTCGATTTGAAGCTTTCGTGACTGCAGGGATTCATCTTCTTGGTTCTTTTTCGGTAAAGTCACTTAGAAGGGAAATAATAAAATAATAAAAATTAAACAATAAAATACAATTCTCACGACGTTTCGGCCACAACGTAAGCAGCCGTCCTCAGGTGAAGAACAGGTCTGTCGGAAAGACAGCGTCTGAATGAACACCACCAAGCTTGGCAGTGTATATTTAAGCTGGGTTAGGGGGGGAAGAGCGCCTTGACGAAGGAATTTGCATATCAACAGATGAATTTAGCATATTTATGGAAAATGCAGATATGGACAGTGGAAAACACAAGCCTTCAAATTTTGACTTAAGACCAATTTGCACCCACATTCAGTGGCGTAAGTTTAAACTGGCAGCTGTGCAGAGGGTGGATGCGGCAATTGGTTCAGGTGCTCCCCCCCAATATTTGATTTGCCAAAGCCAAACGTTGACTGCTCTAATTAAATTAAAATTTTCTTCTTCCTAGCGTTGTTGCCGCTGTGGCACAGGGTCCGCTTTTCGGAATTGTCTTCTCCATTTGGCTCGATCCAGGGCATCTTCGGGGATAAAACGTGGAATGTAAATGCGAACGGCGTTTTAAATGTTTTGTTATTTTACTCTTTTGAAAACATTGTGGTTGTCAAAGGGGCCCCATCTAAACTAAACTTTTTAAAATTTTACCCAGGCATTCTTCTCACTCCTATCCTACCTATTACCCATTTGATTTTCCTCTGGGTTCTCTCCACATTTAGAATTAATATGCGCTTAGAGTATTTGGCTGCTATACCTTTCCATACGATAAGCCACCTCATTGGGCTATAATTTGTGACCAGGTCGCTTCTGAACAAAAAAGAGCTATATAGCTAAGTGGGCCTTTCGATTTGAAGCTTTCGTGACTGCAGGGATTCATCTTCTTGGTTCTTTCGGTAAAGTCACGTAGAAGGGAAGTAATAAAATGTGCTATTCGCATTCCTGCATTTCCCATAAATATGCTAAATTCCTCTTCAAATGCAAATTCTTTTGTCAAGGCTCTCTTCCTCCTCCCTCACAGCTTAAATATACACTCCAAACCTAAGACGTGTCATTTAGACTCTGTCTTATCGACAGACATGTTCTTCACCTGAGGACGGCTGCTTGCGTTGTGGCCGAAACGTCGTGAGAATTATTTTTTTATTTTTTATTTTTGTTGTTTTATTACTTCCCTTCTACGTGACTTTACCGAAAGAACCAAGAAGATAAGTGGGCCTTACCTGGCAAAATAACAAATAGTTTAGAAGTAGCCCTCACCGCGCTGCTGTCTGCGTCGCTGTGGTTTTTGTGCCCAGAGCTGGAGGCGTACGCGGCGGCTGTGAGCGCCTTGCGCGCTCAGGGGGACCTCACCGTAGAGAAGCGCGATCTGCTCAGCGAGCTCGGAAAGGTGTTCAGCATTTCCACGGAACGGCACCGCGCGGAGGTGCGCAGGGCTTACAACGATGAAAGGCTTTCCACCATCGCTTTCCAGTGAGTACGCTCGCAAGATGGGTAACTATGTCCCTTTGTTAGTTGCCTTGCCACGACTTGGTGTGCTCGGGCCTTCACGAAAGTAATTTATTGAGGAGGCCAAGTGGCTCCGTTTTTTTTTCTTATTGTGGTAAAGATGGGAATTGCAGTGACCTAAAAAGTAGTTCTGTGAAGTATTTTTCTTCAACCAATTCTCGAACACGTGGTGTTACACCGCTCGCTGTGATAGTTCCTAAAAATAATTCCTCTGTCGCGTATCATGACGCTGATGGCAGCACAGTTGGATTGTAATTGGGCAAAACATTATTTTCTGTCTTTTATTTTTCACCTTTGCCATAGACCAGAGCTGCATGTCTTCCCTTCGTTACAGTTAATGTGGATTTCGTATAGAGGAGGTTACGTGGTTGGCAGCAGAGGGCAGTGCAGCCAACTCCATTGTGGTAACTGCCTATCTACACTGTCTACTTTTTACGAGCCAAGCTGGATAGCTTGGCGAAGTACGGTCAAACAACCCTCACAACCCACATGGCATGGGGAGGCTCTTATCCAGCCGTGGCTTGACAGAGAGGCTGTACATGTTGCATAGATGGGCACTGACTTGCCCTACCCCTTTCAGATGCTCCCTCTGAAGCCATGTGGAATGCTCTTCTGATATTAGCAAGCCACTCTAGCCTTGCACTTTTAAATCTAGATTGAAAACTCGTTTCTTTAGAACTGTTTAGTTTGTTGTCCTTCTCCCCGCACCTCCCATTAGCGCGGATGGCTACGTACGATGCAAAAGAAGTTCAACATACTGTACGTAAAAACAACCCTCATATGGCCGTGACTTGACAGAGAGGCCCTACATGTTACATAGAAGAAGACTGACTTGCCCCTTCCTCCTCTCCATCGCTCCACCCTCCACCGCAGCGTGTCGGGGCCCAACAGCGGCACGGAGTGGTCCATAGAGGGGCGCCGGCTCGTCCCGCTGTTGCCCCGGCTGCTGCCCCAGACGGTGCTGACGCGCTCAGCCAACTCGGCTGCCCTTGCCATGTCCGCCCACAACGCCACGCTTCCGTCGCCCGGACTCACGGGCAACAAGGAAGGTGAGGGAGCCTGTTCCAGATTTTTGAGTTTTGAATTCCAGATACTGGATGCCCAATTCGGGATTCTGCATTTCAGATTCTGGACTCGGGGTTTTATATGCCTAATGCCGGATACTAGATGAAATATCCAGATTCTAGTTTGCGGATTCTGGATACTGGCAGGCTCGGTGAATCTTAATCAGCTACACTCGTTAAGTTGATGAGTAAATAGACACTGACTGTATGCTAAATTGTTCCAGATAGGCTGAGTACTGGGCATTTCACTCGTACCATTCAAACCTAGTGCATAATAATACTCATTGGGGTGTAGCATTGAGAAGAATTCCCGGCCACAGTTTACGTCAGCCGTTAATGATATCTCATACCATTCCTTGGCGACTCCACTTTACCAGCCCGCACGAGCTAGCATAGTGAAGTATGGTCAGACCGACACAGCGTGGGGAAGGTTTATTGAGAAGGTCTGCAACTATATTGCTTTTATTAATACACGTAGAAATTTGCAGCGCAGCAAATTGCGACATGGTTAGATCCCCGGGGCCCGTGGGTGGCCATTTGGTAATGTGCACCGCTAAACTTCGGAGTATGAAGTTTTTTTGGACTAAATTCTTACAATACTTAATGAATAAAATGATTTTGAAAGTTTCTCATTTGGAAACTCTCTCGGGTCTGTGAGACCAAGGGTTTCGTGCAGTCGTACCACATTGCTGTACAAGAGTTCAAAGTGCCGTTTGCAGTTCCAATGTTTAATATGTACCCCGTAAGTTGTACAGTAATTATCAAAATTACTCGTGGCTTCAAGGTAATGTCACATGCTGCGAGGTCGGTATATTCGCGGTTGTTCATTGGAGTTCTCTTGATGTCTTTTTGGGTTGTTTGATGTTGAGCTTGTATGCCCAAGTGACAAAGATTATCAATTACGCACGCCTACCTACATGCAACCCTTACGCCGGGCACCAGCAGCGGCCAAAAAAACGTTCATCAATTCACGGAGAACACGCGCTGGCTGCTGAGACATTCAGTGCCTGAAGAAGCTCCCCGGTTTGTGGAGCGAAACGTCGGACATCGTGACCACGATCGGCACTCGCCTTCCCTAACCGATGCGGATGTATTCACTCGAAACCAATAAAGCGGTGGACGTTTGTCATTGCAGTGGTGGTGAGCTACAGCTATGCCAGCCCGTCCCCAATCTCCCCCACCGTGTGCACCTCACCACTGGGTGGCGCCAGCAGCAGCAGCAACAACAGCAACAACAACAACAGCGGTGGTGGTGGCGGCGGCGTTGGGGCGGGTGGAAACGTTGGGGCGGGCATTGGGGCGGCAGCAGCAGCAGCGGTGGTCCCTACCAAGTCTCCGCGTCCGGCTAGTCCGGCATCGAGTGTTGTCGTGCTGCCCAGTGGGAACACCGTCTACGTGAAAAGTACGATCGCCGCAATACCATTTTTGTCACGATACGACGTGACGTAATTCTGCACGGTGTAGATTATAAAACGCGTTTTTTTTCTGTATTTTGAAGCAAAAAGCTCGGATTTAAGAAGCTTTCTGCGTACAATTATGACTTGCATCTGTATCGTTAACGATCTATTGTCGGGTGTCACACTTCGGACACGTATGTATGTTGAAATACTTTCGCACCGTACGTAGCCAACCTTACTAATTAAATGTGCGGGGAAAGCACAACAAACTAAACACAAAGCAGCATCTAGAGAACACATTGGTCCTCCTGGAAGGCGTGGTTTATTCAAGTTGTTGAGATCTTTTCCGGAAGATGGTTCTCAATAGCAAAATATATTACCACCCAAAAGAAGGTCAGTGCCAGCTGATCACATAGCTAATCAGATAGTGTTAGTAATCATCTTCAGGAGATGACTTTCCGTACTCGTACATTATCTTCAAAGAGAGAATCTGAGATTCTCACAGGATTGTCCAATCCAGGAGAGCCGGGATTGACAGTCTTAGCAAGGCTGTCCTGGGTATAATCATGATTTTATATACAGCGTCATGCTAATTGCATTCCACAGTGTTGTACATTAATTATATATGAGGGCCCAAATCCTATTTACAGCTACTACCAAGCAAATGAAAATCCTCAGAAAATAAAAATGAATAAATAAATGGCACCAAAACAAAAAAGGGCACGCACATCACAACAGAGTAAAATTAGAGCCCATTGAGTCTCCACATCCAGACCACAATCTCAACATTTCAAATGTCCAAAATGTGGTTTCCTATTTATCAGCATACGCCTGGATGAATGAAATGGCCTTCAGTTCGGAATTAAATAATGTGCAATGGAGCGATTTGTCAAATATCGACATTTCGTTCATTTTGTGTTTAGTTTGTTGTCCTTCCCCCGCACCTCGGATGAGCACGGTTGGCTACGTACGGTGCGAAAGAAGCTCAACTTGCGTACATACACGGGACACACTTAGTCCTGGTAACAAGACATCACCCATTCCACCGGCTGCGCCCTTTTTCAGGCGTCAGCTGCTCCGAGGACGACGAAAAACCCCGCAAGAGGCGTCGCACCGACTCGTCGGGCTCTCCGTCGCTCGCTCTGAGCGACGGCACCCTCCGGCTCGCCACGTCGCCCTCGCCCCAGCAGCCGCCGCCGGCGCCGCTGCCGCCTCCGCAACCACCGCCGCCGTCGCCCGCCACCGCCACGCTCACCAGCCCCACCGCCGTGTCCGTGGGCCACCCAGCCTTGTCAGGGCCGAAGGTCGGCGTCTCCGTTACGGCCGGGTCGCTGTTTTCCGGCGGCAGCGGTGGCGGCGGCGGTCAAACGCAGCAGCAACAGCAGCAGCAGCAGATGTTGAAGCAGCAGCAGCAGCAGCACACGCACCACATGTCGCCCGTGAAGATTACGTTCACGCGGCCCGTCACGCCCACCACGGCGAGCTCCACGCAGAAGGTGCGTGACGTCACCGTTTGCTCACGGTGTCTCGGGGAAGAACGCGGTGTGTGCGTGTGTGTGTCTGTGCCGTTGTCTGGCTTTGTGGAGCCAATGATTGGTGGATTGCGTTTAGATTTGTAAAACTGACAAATGTGCTCTGCGGTCTGCTAGGCGGGCATTAGATGGCAGTACATGGAACGGCCGTACACGCACCCAATATATAACGTTATTTTTTTTGACATTTTTCTCTAGACGCTCCGGCAACAAAACAAGTTTAACTTTTTAAACTCTCACCCATTTCTCCCGGTGCCGCCAACCAACTTCCCTCTCTCCTCCGCTAAGCCCCCTCCGCTCTGTCTCTCCCTCGTGTCTCTCCCGTCGCCACGGCGACTCTAGGTGATAATCGTGAGCACCACCGCGGGCCCCACCTTTCTGCCGGGCATCCTGTCCAAGCCTCACGGCCTCGTGCAGCCGGGCGGTGGCGCCGTCGCTCCCCAGCACCGCGCGCCGCCCGTGCTCATCGCGTCCAGCTCGGGCGGACACGGCGGCCAGCCCCTGCTGCTGGGGGCGCCCATCGCCGTGGCAACCGGGTCCTCGGCCGCCACCGTTTCCGTGGCGACGAGCTCGCACGCCGCCCTGCACCAAGGTGACGGGGGCTTGAGCACGCGCGCTGCGGCGGTTGGCGCCGCCGAGCTACGAGCCCCCGGCCAGCCGAGTTCGATTCCTGCTCACGGCCAACACCGGTGACGATTATCTCAACCGGTCATGGGTCCTCCCGTAGGTCGACTCAGCCTTAAGTGAGCACCTGGTGCCATGCGTAAACATCGCCGCTAAAGGAAGGCACAGGCTGGCCACCTACCCCCTCATGTGTCGTGCCGGCCTTCATAGGTGTTCGGTAACAGCACTTACCCCAACAGTCTATTAAGGCTATACGGGGGATCTTTGGTGGTGCGATGGTGTAGTGGTTGGCACAGCTGCACTAATATTGGGAGGGGGGTGGGGGGAAGCCAATGACAAGAAATGTATTTCTAGGTGCGACATAATTCCGCGCGTTTGAACGGCTTGGAATGAAACGTCGAAATGTCGGGAGCCGAAGTTGAATGTGACGGACGCGCGGGTTGCGGCCGTGGCAGGTCTGAGCGTGGTGGCTGGCGGCAAGGTGGGGCCACCCACCAAGGCGCCCGTCATGGGCCCCGCGCGAGCCGTGGCAACCAACCTGCCACAGCAGATGGGCACGGGCAGCGGAGGCGGACAGAGCGCCGCTCAGAAACCCACCATCCAGATCAAGCAGGAGTCGGGTATCGTCCGCCTACACTCACTCGTTCTGCTCGCACTTTCATTCACGTATGCACTGACACTTTCGGCAATTCATTGTATCAGTAATGTTTTAATTTCCTCTCAATATCACTCAAATCACTGACACTTTCAGTCATTCGCTCATTTGTTTATGCACGCTCCCATTATTCCTTTCGTCTACTCATTCGTTCACAATTTCATTCGTTATCCAGCGATTCACTACCTCGTTCGTAATTGCATTCGCTCCTTCTTTGACTCATTAATTAATATTCTTGCGCTTGAATTCACCTGCTGCTTCATTCAAAGACGAATTCTCTCGGCTCTTCACGTGTTCATTATTTCCTATTGTCACTCGTGATTGGGTTGTGCGTATTTTTATTGTCATGCTTTTCCTGAGTACAACAACATGCGATGACAAGCAGAGTTTCGATTTAAAGCTTTCGTGACTGCAGGGATTCATCTTCTTGGTTCTTTCGGTAAAGTCACGTAGAAGGGAAGTAATAAAATAATAAAAATTAAAATAAAACGGCTGCTTGCATTGTGGCCGAAACGTCGTGAGAATTATTTAATTATGTTTTATTTTTATTATTTTATTACTTCCCTTCTACGTGACTTTACCGAAAGAACCAAGAAGACAAGCAGAGTGAAGGTTTATCGAACGACCCACACGGCCGACGCGGCACGGGGGCCTTCATCCAGCAGTGGATTGATTGACTAAGGGCGGCTCTAAATTAATATTTTCACTTGCGCTTTCGGTATTGTCACACAAGACAAAATGCGCATCAATTCGGAGCTCTCCACACTGTGTCCACCGGTGAAGCCCCTGGAAGGTGCTGTGAAAGAACTACTTCTCAAGTCTCTTCGCTTGTTCGCCGTCGCCCACACGACGTTTAACGCGAGTGCGCGCATGCACTCCCACACTCAAGCAGGCGTGAAGATCATCACGCAGCAGCTGCCGCAGAGCAAAATCCTACCGAAGCCGGCCGGCGTGGCAACCACCGCGGCGCCTATCATGGTGGTGAGCAACCCGGCTGCCGTAGTGACCACCCGCCTCGTCACCGCGCCAACGGGTACGCACCCCCCCTCCACCCCCATCACGCTGCCCCGGCCTCGCGCTACTCACGCGCGTCTCGAGACAGTTCAATTCTCCCGTGGAAAGAAAGCGCACGTTGGAAAGCGTTGCGGAACTCGCACGCGCACGCGCGGGCAGGCGTGACTTCACCTCCTCCTTGTTTGATGATAAAGGCGACGTCCGTCCGTCCGTGCGTGCGTCTGTCAGAGGTCGCAACCGGGTACCCGATACCCCTACCCTACCCGTTACCCGGCTACCTGTACCCGGCTGGGTACGGGTACGGGTACCCGTTTGCGACCCTGGTGCGGCCGGGTACGGGTACGGGTAGGCCGTGAGTCACTGGTGAGTAACCGTTTGTCACTCATTTCCCAACGTCTTGTCTCTTCTCACAATTCAAGTTCCTAGAATCAACCCACCAGCACCTGCAACATGGCTTCATCCCAGAGGTCGCAATCGGGTACCCGTACCCTACCCGATACCCGGCTGGGTACGGGTAGCCGGGTATCGGGTCGGGTACGGGTACGGGTACCCGATTGCGACCCTGGTGTGGCCGGGTATGGGTACGGGTAAGGAATCAAAACCCGTTTGCGACCTCTGGCGTCCGTCTCGTGCAGCAGTCAGCTCCCGTGTGGCGTCGCCGGGTCCCACCTATCTGAAAACGACCAGCGGCAACATCATCACGGTGGTGCCCAAGTCGCTGGCGTCATCGCTGGGCGGAAAACTTCTGAGTTCCACCGTCATGTCCGGTGAGATTCGCACAACCTGAGATGCGAGGCGATGCTTCGCCCCATCGGATGCACATGCAGATGCGCGCCCTCCTCGGTTGCGTGTCCTCCCGCTGTGTGAGCGGAAAAACGAACGAAGCGAAAGGTGATTTCCCCCAGAAATAATGACACGCCAAAACTTGGTGAGATACGATGCACGCACACCGCGCACGGTAAGATGGCGGGACGAATAAGTTCAGGGTATGCAGACGTGTGACTGTATCACTCCGCGTACTGTATTGTACGGCTCGGCCTCGCAGTTGGAGAAAGCAGTTCGTAGTCGGTACCGCTCGGGAACCGCGTTATAACGGTGTGCGCTCCGCATTGTGTGAGAACCACGTGAAAGCGAGAACGCGTTGTGTGGACAGCGACGAGTCAAACGGGGACTTAACCTTCGATTTAAAGCTTTCGTGATTGCAGGGATTCATCTTCTTGGTTCTTTCGGTAAAGTCACGTAGAAGAGAAATAATAAAATAATAAAAATAAAACATAATAAAATAATTCTCACGACGTTTCGGCCACAACGCAAGCAGCCGTCCTCAGGTGAAGAACAGGTCTGTCGAGAAGACAGAGTCTGACTCTATCTTCTCGACAAACCTGTTCTTCAGAAGACAGAGTCAGAGTCTGACTCTGTCTTCAGTCTGACTCTGTCTTCTCGACAGACCTGTTCTTCACCTGAGGACGGCTGCTTGCGTTGTGGCCGAAACGTCGTGAGAATTATTCTATTATGTTTTATTTATTATTTCCATTCTACGTGACTTTACCGAAAGAACCAAGAAGAGGGGACTTAACCGTACACGTTTGGCGTTGGCCGTCTTGTTTATTATTTTCGTCGTCGTCGTTCAACAATGCAGGCACAACAACGAAGATCACGACCATTCCGGTGTCGATGGCCTCCAAGTCGAACGTGATCGTGGTGCAGAAAGCGCCCGGCAAGGGAGCCTCCATCCAGGGTCTCGCGGGGAAGAGCGTCGTCACAACGCTGCTGGGAGCGGCCAGCATGGGAGGAGCGGTGAGTCTCCGCTCGCGTGTGACGCCCAACTCCCTCCCACCCCCTCTCTCAGTTTCTTGAATTGGGTGCAACATGAACAAGAAACATCTTAAAGTAACTATGCGCAAACAGAAAAATCCAGGAAAAAACAGCAATCTTCCAGAAAAAGCACCGTATATCAATGCTGTGTGCAAAAATCCCAGTGGGATGTGAGTCAAACAATAACAACCATAATACAATTTAGATGAAAGTTAGCAGGCTAACTCTGTACTACAACAAACAAATATGGCTAAACCAAAACGTTTTCGAAATCACCAAAATAAAGCTATAAAAGCAATGTAACAGTGGTCATAGGAACGGTGATTGAAATTTGACAATAAACGATATACATAACATGTACTACCAAACTTTGCAGCCATATATTTCGATTTAAAGCTTTCGTGACTGCAGGGATTCATCTTATTGGTTCTTTCGGTAAAGTCACGTAGAAGAGAAGTAATAAAATAATAAAAATAAAACATAATAAAATAATTCTCATGACGTTTCGGCCACACAACATAGCTGGCTGCATGAGTCACTCCATAACATCTCTCTCCATACATCGTACCATACACAACAAGCCGGGCAAGGCAGCCCCAGTCCAATAACGGAGCCTCCAGCATGGACATTAAGAAGCGCACGCAATTTTTATCGTTTCATTCATTCACCGCGCATAGTCAGCAAAGGACCCTTGCCGCGCCAAACGTGCGACCTCTTGCGGCAGCATTCGCTTAAACTGCTCTTGGCTGCCATCCATACACCGGCGTTTCAAGTGATTTGTTTGATACACGGATCACGGAGGGGTGGGAAAGGGTTGGCGCCATTCCTTTGAAGGTCGCAGTCCATTTAAAGCGTGCAATTTGCTTGAGTTTACGCAATGTTATGAATAATCCATTTGAAACTCTTATGGGGCAATGCGTCGGCCCTGTGGTAGAGAATGGCCCATCGAAGCGGTTATTGAAAGCCGCCTCTTGAGATCGAGTGGTTTTTGGTATCATGCACTAGGGGGCAGCACCTCACCACCCACCCTGCTGTGCTGGCTTTCAAAATTCATACGTGACATTCTCAGAGCCGGGAATTGACCACATTTAAGTGCAAAACCAAATTTAATGTGATGGGTATCAATATATATATTTTGATTTATATCTTTCGTGACTGCAGGGATTCATCTTCTTGATTTTTTCGGTAAAGTCACGTAGAAAGGAAGTAATAAAATAATAAAAATAAAACATAATAAAATAATTCTCGCGACGTTTCGGCCACAACGCAAGCAGCCGTCGTCAGGTGAAGAATGAAACACCACCAAGCTTTGACAAAATTCTTTTGTCAAGGCGCTCTTCTTCCCCCCCTCCAACCCAGCTTAAATATACGCTCCAAGCTTGGTGGTGTTTCATTCTTCACCTGAGGACGGCTGCTTGCGTTGTGGCCGAAACGTCGTGAGAATTATTTTATTATGTTTTATTTTTATTATTTTATACTTCCCTTCTACGTGACTTTACCGAAAGAACCAAGAAGATATATATATTTTGTTGTGTGCAGTCATTGGTGAACGGGCTGAGCCTGTCAACTTGCTGCACTCGGGGAGGGAAACTCGTTGTCTAATCGCAGCAGAACTGTTACCCGGATTCGAACCCAGGCGCTCAGCTGTGCCAGCTCAGCACTCTGGATGCTCTTGAGCCACTCGGCCAACATCAGCATTCATTTGTTTTATTAAAACGTACAGCAGTAAGTCTACGGAAGGGGAGTGATGGCTGGTGGCCCGCACCTCTGATTAGCACGGTTGGCCACGTACGGTGCGAAAGAAGTTCAACGTATGTAGAGACGGAGTGGCAGCCAAGGAACATTTCCGTGTTAACGTCCGTCACGGAGATGGAGTGGTAAAAATCATCTCGTGCGTGGTGGCAATTTGACTTCTTGCATTGCATGACCATGGTTGTTTGCAATTTCTTGGGAAGAGATCATAATCGGAATATTTAATTATACTTCAGGAATCTGATGAGCTATAAACCTCTCTTTAACAGATGTCTAGTGGTTCATATATGTCCAATAGATCTTGGCTGATGATGATGATGATGATAGCAATAACAACACCTCACTCTTAAATCAGTTAAACTCATTTCCTTTCAAGCAGATTCAGAGAAGCGTCAGAATTCATGGCAACATTTTCTGATTTACATTCAGTATTTACGGCTCCGAGTCGTCCCGGTCATCCGAGCCGGTGGTGGAAATTCCCCATACCAGGCAGGTACCACTTTGTAATTGTCAATATCCCACATTGGATCGGAGATCAGGGCCATCAGTGGAGAGGATCAATGCTGGCAGATGCAACACTTTCGCTTGTGACTGACTTTGAGGATGTGATGAGTCACACGGTGAAAAGAAAACCAGTGTGGTAAGCTTTAGTAAGCCGGTGACGCATCATCAGTGTAAACATACAGCCCTCTTGTCAGACAACTGCCGGATGAGAATATCCGCGTGCCATGCGGCTTGCGGCGGTTCACTCTGGCTTGGTGAAGCCGGGATGCATAGAGGTGGAAGCATAGGGAGTTCGATACAATATTGGAGTTTGATACACTGTCCTCTGCTGCTCACGATGTTATCCCCACAGCCAATAACAACTTGTCGTGCATAATGGTTTCCTGTACAAGACTTCCCCTTCAGCTCGCCCTTACCGGCATGGGGAAGTACGGTCAAACAACCCCATGACTGATACTCCGTGGGGGGTGGGTGGAGAGGGAGGGCCGTCATCTAAGAGTGGATTGACAATGGACTATAAACAAATTATTATTCCTGTGATTTCCACTCCGTCACAGATGTTCCTACCCACTCATCCATTTCCTGTTTTGCAGAAGAAGCCTCCTCTTGCCGTCAAGCGCCTTGAGTCGACGTTTAATTTCGCGTGATCGCGCGGTTGAACGGGTCGTGAAGGCTCGCTCGTTGTGTTTTTCCGCACGGCAGCGGTTGGGTTAATGGAAAACATCGGCGGCAGGAGCGTGGCTTGCCACGTTCACTGCCGTCCGGAAGCTCCACATGGTACCAGTTAGTGGGCTCGGCGCCGTGGCTGTTTTTCATTTTGACGGGTTTTCTCCGCCTCTCCGTCTGAGCCCTAACTTCCGTTGCGAAGGCCCCACTTTGCGTTGCTGAGTAACGTCGTCCCCACTTTTTCACAGTGCTCACGTACCGTCCCGTCCGTCTGTACGCCGTGTTCGGCCTGTGGTTACTCGGCGTGCTGGCTGATTACATCAGTGGACTGTGATCTAATCTAACATCACGGCCGGGAAAATTGCGAAACATTGTTCGCGGTTATATATCACGTAATTTCCACCTTCCCCTGTATACGCGCACAGCCCTGTTATGTCAATCCACTGCTGGATGATGGTCGTGGTTATGATAAGGCTAGATGATGGTGATCACGTTAATCATGGTCATTTATGGCGATGACGCCAGTAATAATGATGTTGATACTGTTAATGATGATGATGATGATAGTAATGTTGGTAATGATTTTGACGATTGCCATGCCTTATAATGGTGCCAGGAATGATGATGATGCTGCTGGTGGTGATGATGATGAGAATAATGATAATGATTAATGGTAAGTGCTTCCTATGAATTATACTGCACGGCGCTCTGAAGCCCTTTGTTTGGGTATGCTGAGTCTTATATAAACGTAAATAATAATGATGATCACAACAGTGACGGTAACGCTGATAATGTTCTTGTCGGTGGTCGCGACGGTGACAACGATTGGTGGCGGTGGGCAGGGCGAGAAAGGGCTCCAAGGAACGTCGTCGGGGCCGAAGCCCACCATCCTGACGACGGCACGGTCCGGTATCGGCGGCGGCGGCGGCACCATCTCGAAGATGATCGTGACGCAGAACAAGCCGGGAGGTGTGCCTCCCGTCCCCGCCGCCAAAATCCTGCCGCCCAAAAACCCTTACACGCAGCCTCAGGTGAGCCGAGTGGCGTGCCTGTGGCTACCCAAGGCCAGCTCACAGGGCCGTCTATAATAGGGGGTGGGGGAGAGCGGCAGAGGTCGCAACCGGGTACCCGATACCCGTACCCTACCCGATACCCGGCTACCCGTACCCTGGTGCGGCCGGGTACGGGTACGGGTAGGCCGTGAGTCACCGGTGAGTAACCGTTTGTCACTCATTTCGGGTAGGGTACGGGTAGCGTACAGGTACCCGTACCCGGCCGGGTACAGGTACGGGTACCCGTTTGCGACCCTGGTGTGGCCGGGTACGGGTAAGGAATCAAAACCCGTTTGCGACCTCTGGAGAGCGGTGCGGGGCCTGGGGCAAATCACACCACGTGTGCCCCCTCCCCACCGACACCACGGTGGCTCGGAGATGTCAACTACCTTGCCTGATCCCGACCCTGACGCCTATATATTTTTAGTTTGCGTGGTCTCCCCGTGGTCGCGTGGACTTTTCTCCGCGTCCTCTGGTTTTTTTTCTCCACATATAAACTCAACATCACGAATTTTAGAGTATTCGGCTGCTGTAAATTTCCACGCGGCGATGAGCCACTTCGTTGTGCTATGATTTGCGGCCTGGTCGCTTCTGAAAAGAGCTACACAGCTAAGTGGGCCTTACCTGGTCAAATAAAAAAAATTGTTTTAATCGTTTTTAATCATTTAAACTGCAAGTATTACATCTGTGACATCAACGCGTGGGCCACCCCCCAAAGCGCATTAACCCCTGATTCACCGTGCGACCCTAGGTGACGGCTCTGCCAGTTCACACCTCCGGTCTCCCCCCCACCATCCCCCCGCTTTGTATTTCGCGTCGTGACCTCGCGACAGACAGTTACCTCTGCCGGGCACGAGTCCGCCGCTCGCGACGACGAGACGGACGATTTGAAATCGATTGCCGGTGTCGCTTTGAGAGCAGCCCGGCTGGGCCTAGGCTTGTTCATGAGCATCCTCTGGATTTGTTTTTTTTCCCCAAGCCTGTGCCAAGCGCGGGGGCGTGCGCTTGCGGGCTTTGCGTCGGCACGGCGGATAGCGCCTGTGCTTCGAGCAACACGCGTGTAGGTGTGCAAAAAAGCAACCATAGTCTCTGTACTTACGCAAACGCCATCGGCATATCCTGACCAAATCTTACTGACAGCAGCAGTGGATGCAGTGATAGACAACCGTGGATTGGTTTCGTCCTTGTTATGCCTCATCAGCACAGTTTAGTCACCGCAGTGAGCAGTGAAGGATGATTGTCTTTGATGCTACACAGCAAAAACGTTACAGTGGTGATTTGCATATCGAGATTCTTTACAATGGCCGTGTTTATTACGTAGAGAGAGGCAGGCAGGCATAGGGAGAGGAAAAGAGGAAGGTCTTGAGTCTTGGACTTGAACAGGGAGTCGACAGCATGGTTGACTGAGCGAGGGATTTCCACGCTTTATGGGGGCAGCAGCAGAGGAGAATGAGCGACCTCCCACTAAGCGTCGGTTGAGTATGGGCTTCGATAGAAATATGCGGTGGCTGGGGCAGAGAATGCATAGAGGGGAATGTACTGTATTTATAAAAATAGATTTATTTAACCAGGTAAGGCCCACTGAGCTGTATAGCTCTTTTTCAAAGCGACTGGCTGCAAATGATTGCTCAACATAGTGTCTTATCAGCGTGGAAATGTATCGCTGCCAAATACTCCAAACGCACGATGTTTCTAAATGTGGAGATAAAAACTGGAGGACCCGGAGAAAAAAATCCACGGGACCACGGGGAAAAGAGAGAGACACGCAAACTCCAAATATCCAGCAGGCATCAGAGTCAGGATCGAACCTACCACCTCCTGTGTACCAAGCGAGGTAGTTAACATCTCCTCGCCACCGGCGCCCGTTATGAACCGCGTCCATTGGTGACGTTTTTCTATCCACTTGCTCGGTATGTTTGAGGTTAATAAGCAGCGGTGTTCCCGGTAATATTTGTAGACCGTCACGGCAAATGCGGCATCGCTTGAATACTTTACAGTTCGGGACAGTGGTGTTTTTAATCCAGCGCTCCTGGCAGAAAGTGCTCTAAGTCTTTTAACATAAACACTAACAAAGCGTGACTTACAACCATTACCTTATAAAGCCCCCCAGAGTTAGCACAGGCTCGCGTCTGTGATGTTTGACGCTGTGTTGAAGTTACGATCGCTCGGCTCGGCTCGTCGCCAAAACGAGAATGCTCGGGCCTCTGTCAAGAGTTCACGTTGGGTTCGATTTGGCTCGGAACCCTAACTCTTTGCATTCCACATCCAGACCGTCTGCAAACAAACTGTAAATCACTCCCGGCCCACGTGCTCCCTTTGTAGCGATGTTGTGATCATTAGTCAAAAGATCCAGGTGTCATCGTTGCCAAAGCCATCGCGAGTGATTAACAGCGTAATGGTTTACAGCTCTCTCAATCCACTGCTGGATGCAGGCCTCCCCCGCGCCCGTTCATCTGTGCACGTTGGCGGTCACTAGCATTGCTCCATTTCAAGTGTACTTTCTGTTGTTGTTTTCAATTGGAAAACCCGTTTCAACAAACGGTGGTTGATTTTACAGCCCTTAAACTTGTACACAGCACGCGCCGCTAGGATTTGAACAAGGCATCGGTTCTGGGCTACGCTTAGGCATCGTGGTGGGTCGCGGGTCAATTTTACGATGGGTCTGTGGGTCCAGAAAGTCACTCTGCGTTCTGCCAGAGCGAGCGGGCCATCTTGTTGTTGTACAATGCCTCACGCTCGTTCCAAAAAGAAATAGGAAATGAAGCGCTGACACAGGAAGTTGCCGCTTCCGCAGTTTTTTTTTTAGCAAACTGAACTTTTTTCCCAACGGCCCACGTGACCACCACTCGCCTGAATTCGTTTTTCTTACTCAGTCCACGGCCGGGTCAACCCGTCGACGTTCACACGACACCAGCTGCGCGCCGGTGCCAATTTATTTGGCCAGCCCAAATGTAGCTCAGGGTCTGCGGTTGATGTTTAGCACCCCACTGATGATAATTGTTTTTTTACCCTTTTATCTGGCAACAAAACTGACACCTTTTGGCGTCATCTGGTCCAACACCATGTGAGACTAGGCTCTAAGGAAGCTGTCTCGGGTGTGGACCAATCAACTTCAAGGACAATGCATACATTATCAGAGTTATGTTTTTTGTTTGCATTATGACTGCAGGTATTGTGGTCTATGTCAACATGACTCCTTGTAAAAAAGGTGTCAGTTTTGTTGCCAGATAAAAGGGTAAAAAAACAATTATCATATTTTTTCTTCTGGCAAATGAGGTTCCAATGGTGTAAATGTTCACCCCACTGATGTTGTGAAACGTAGCGACTTTAACGCCGTAATGCGGGACTATTCAGCCGGTAGTCCGGCAGCCAGATATGGCCTTGGGGAGTGGCCCACTGAGACGGCATATGTATGTACGATGAAATTCTTTCACACCGTACGTAGCCAACCGTGCTAATCGTAGGTGCGGGCGGGAGGCTCGCACTTGTGTTGAGGATGATTCGTTCATTGTTGATGATTTCGCTGCTGGTGGTAATGATGATGGTGATGATGGTGATGATGATGGTAATGATGGTGATGATGGTAATGATGGTGATGATGGTGATGATGGTGATGATGGTGATGATGATGGTGATGATGGTGATGGTGATGATGGTGATGATGGTGATGATGGTGATGATGGTAATGATGGTGATGATGGTAATGATGATGGTGATGATGGTAATGATGGTGATGATGGTAATGATGGTAATGATGATGGTGATGATGGTGATGATGGTAATGATGGTGATGATGGTAATGATGGTAATGATGATGGTGATGATGGTGATGATGGTGATGATGATGGTAATGATGGTGATGATGGTGATGATGGTAATGATGATGGTGATGATGGTAATGATGATGGTGATGATGGTGATGATGGTGATGATTGTAATGATGGTGATGATGGTAATGATAATGGTGATGATGGTGATGATTCCCCGTGCTTTCAGGTGCTGATTAAGCCAAAGCCCATTGCCACGACGATGTCGATGGTGGGCGTTTCCGTAGCGACGGCCACGCATGATGCAGACAGTACAGGCGCCGGAGATGCAGCAGCAGATGAGGACAGGAGGGAGGATATGGATTCTTCCGTTGCCATGGAAACGGGCACTACCATCTTGCAAGGTGAGCGGCGGTGGTAACGCCCATTTCTTCGCGTTGTGCAATAACCTGACGTGACGTTTGTTTATTAGGTAACCGCCGCGCTCGTTTTCACCGCGTGCATTGCGCGGCTCTTGAAATTTTGAGGTTTATTGTTTTTACACTATGAGATCTCCTTCACCAGTGGCAAAATATAGTAATAGGTTTTTACCCTTTTAACTGGTACAAAATCTGACACCTTTATACAAGGCATCATGTTTGCAATAACCTCAACACAAGAAGTCAAAATGCAAACAAAAAGAAACAACTCTGATGATGATAATGATATGCACTGTCATTGAAGTTGATTGGTCCACACCCGAGACATCTTTCTTTAGAGCCTAGTCTCCATTGGTGTTGGACCAGATGACGCCAAAAGGCGTACTTCCAATGACAGTGCATATCATTATCATCATCAGAGTTGTTTCTTTTTGTTTGCATTTTGACTTCTTGTGTTGAGGTTATTGCAAACATGATGCCTTGTATAAAGGTGTCAGATTTTGTACCAGTTAAAAGGGTAGAAACCTATTACTATGTTTATTGTTTTGTTTACCGAATTCAAACAAAAATAGCTCCTCTTCTTAGATTTGGTTTGGTCTGTTTCACCCAACAATTGGACCCAGTTCTCTTGGACATGAGAGTGCAGCTGGTTGTATGATGAGAAAGACATCGTAACAAATACCCCGTAGAGGAGGCTCCCTCTCGTGCAGGCTCACCTGCCAGCAGTGGCGTAGGCGAGCAATTGCGGGGCTGCGTCTTTACCTGTAACACACGACACGGCCATCGTTAACTCCCAGAGTTATTTCGCAGCGACAAACAAACGAGTGCATTTGGTACTTGCGACCAGTCTTGCGCAACAAAGGCGCAACAGTTTATGTTTCGTTGGCTTTACAGAACATTTCCTGACTTTAGTCTTAGGCAGAACTGGCGGAGAGTCGGTGGCAAAATCGTGGACAGGGACCGGCAGTGCAGATGGCTTGGACACCGCAAGAGTGTGCCAGTGGGTGGGGGTGGGTGGGTGAGTGGGTGAACGGGTGGATGAGTGAGTGGGTGAGTAATTCATTGAGTGAGTGGGCGCTGAGTAGTTGAGTATATGGGTGAGTGAGTGGGTGGGTGAGTGGGTGGGTGAGTGGATGGGTGAGTGGATGAGTGAGTAGGCGAGCAATTCAATGAGTGAGTGGGCGCTGAGTAGTTGAGTATATGGGTGAGTGAGTGGGTGGGTGAGTGAGTAGATGGACCAGACACCGCAAAATCTGGGGGAGGGCGGGGGGGCCCATATCTCGACGCTCGACGCCCCTGCTGCTCATGTGCCACGCCAGCCGACCATTCGTCTCGTCAAAGAGTTGCGTGCCAGGCTGGAAGGACGCCATGGACGTGAGCGAGGCTTCGGCAGCCTCCCACTCGGCAACCTCCACCATCCGGGCCTTCATGGAGATGCAGAAGCCTGGAGGCTTGTACCCGCCCCTCCCTCCTCACTGCCTGCTGGGAACACTGGGCAGCAAGGCGTCCCGCAGTGTGTTTACGCGTCGCGCTGCCTTGCGGGGTCCTCGTGCGAAACGCGTGCGGTTTGGGGTCCGTAGTGGGTGCCCGGCGTGTTCATTTGGAGCGCGAGGGGTTTGGCTGAAACGGGGCACGTTCAAAGAGGGCACTTGCCGAAACCCCCCTCCCTTCCCTGCTGGGCTGCGATGTGGCCACGTGGTGGCGGTACAGCAAGTGGGTTCACTCGTTAAAAACAATGAAACACGTGGGCTTTCGCGACCAATATTGTCTATAATAGAGGTGTTTTTGGGTTAGATCGCGTAAGTATAAATGTGTCGTTAAACCCGCCACCACCCGACACGGCCAATTGGTATGATTTGTCACGTAAACAGAACGTGCCAATTCGTTACTTGTCCAGCACACCGGTGTGTTGGGGAGTAAATTACTGGCGAAATATCGTAACCAAATTGTAAATGTTGTGGGTTTACTCTCCAACACACAAGCGGTGTGCTGTACTAGTAACATATTGGCACGTTCTGTTTACGTGACAAACCTTATTAATTGGCAATGTTGGGTTGTGGCGAGTTTAACCACACATTTATATTTTACGCGATCTAACCCATAAACGTCTATTGTGGACATAAAAAAATGGTCCAAAAGTCACAATACCCAGGAATCGCTTTAAGTGGGAGTCTTGAGGTTGAGTGAGATTTTCTTGAGTAAATAAATTTGTTATCACAAATGTAAGATGATGGTTTAAATGTAGGTCATGGTCAATATAACTACAACTTTATTATGACCACTACCCATATTATAATAGGTCATGTGCCCTTTGTAATAGAGTATATATATATATAACAAGTGAATGATCTGGTCAATGACAATTTCCTCTGCTCTAAACGATGGCTGGCTCGGTTTTTGAAATGTACATTTCGTATTGTAGGAAAATATGATTAACGATGATGATGATGACGGTAAAGTGTGGGTTTCTATGTTGAACTTTTTCGCACACCGTATGTAGCCAAGCGTGCTGCTATTTTACCACAAACAACGCAATTCCTGTCCTCTAAAAGAAATATATATATATATAAATCACTGACTAGTTTACAGTCGTTCAATAACAAACAAAATTCAAGGGTAATCAAAGGGTCGCTGTGTTTTTTTTTTAAAGCGTACGGGGGAGTGGTGGCGCAGTGCTTACACACACTATGAATCTCACAACCCGGTTTGACTCCAGGCAATGGCTAACATCAGTTTGAAAGTGATATACGAACCGGTACTGGGCTACTCCTTTTTTCACCATTCTGGCCTGACCAGCATGGTGAAGTATGGTCAAACAAACCCACCTTATGCATGTTGAACTTCTTTCGCACCGTACGTAGCCAACCGTGATAATCGGAGGTGCGGGGGAGGACAAAAATCTAAACGCAAAGGAGCAGTTTTGTGTTTAGTTTATTGTCCTTCCCCGACAGTGTAAACCTTCATTGACCAGTGTATTTAGTGACTAATGGCTGTAATTACCATTATTAGTGTTAATAGAGACTATCATAATTGTGTCTGTGGCCATAACGGTCGACTCGCAATCTGAAAGTTGCGAGTTCAGTTCTCAATCAACTCAGCCCATCATCACAGCTGGGTGAATAAAACGAGTACCCAACTATTTTGCGACAAGTGAACTTCAGTCATCTTGTACAGAGGCTTGTTTGCCGCCATGAGAACTGTGGAATTTCCACGACTTGGCTAAGGGGTGCCGATGTATGCAGGTGCCGTGCCATTGCTCATTTGAGAAGCGGGACGATGAGTCGATTAAGTCGACCAAGAATGACGATCGACTACTTCGTTTGTGGCCGATTACTCGGATCCCTTTTTGAAAACATGGCCACCCCCGCACTCATGCTTCCCGAAGGCTGGAAACCCCCCAACAATCTACAACCAGCGCGGTTCGGCAGACGATGCCGATGACGTCAAGTAGCCTCCCCCCCCGGCCAGTCAGCCGCGACCTTCTTTTGCAAGGTGTCAGTTTTGTTGCCAGATAGAAGGGTAGAAAAAACGATTATCGTTGAGGCTTTGTTTTTCCCAACTTTTGAACGTTTAGTGCGATTCGTCGAGTTGCCGAGCCGACGGTCGATTTACGGAAATGATTCGATTTAGGGCCCGGCTCTAAACTTTTAATCGCTGATTCTCCTTCGCCCTGACCAGTCCCCCCCCCCTCTTCCCCGCAGGTCGGGACAAACCTCGCATGCCAACCATCGACCTGAGCCACATGGTGATTCCCGTCGCCAGGGGAACGGATGTTGTCGTCACGACAACCACGGGCGACCGGACAAACCGCACGGTCACGGCCAGCATCAAGGTACGTGTTGACGATGGGATAACCGCGCAGCGCTCTATAAGGGCGCCACGGTGGCGAGATGTTAACTACCTCACCTGCTATACAGGAGGGCATGGGTTCGATCCCGACCCTGATGCCTGTATATTTGGAGTTTGCATGTTCTCCCTGTAGTTGTGTGGATTTTTCTCCAGGTTCTCTGGTTTTTCCCTCCACATTTAGAATCAACACGCATTTAGAGTATTTCCTCATCTTGATGATAAGCCACTTCGTTGAGCTATCGTTTGTGGCCAGGTCGCTTCTGAAAAAGAGCAGTATAGCTCAGTGGGCTTTGCCCGGTAAAATAAAAATAGTTTCAGTTTTATCTTAGTCGTAAGTCAACGGCAGTCGGCCTACGAATCTACTGGCTCCCAACTGCGGGAATGTGGAATTTTAAAAGCTGTTTATAGGCCACCGGTAGTTTCGAGTTGCTGCCTTATGTGCATTTGAAGCACGGACATTCGCAAGATGGAATAAAAGCCGAGAAATGTGCAAAGCAGAGAGGCGTGGTTGGAATTACACGGAGAGACGGGACGAGGAAGGCGTAGATTAGAAACATGCTGCCACGTAGATTGGCTTGGGCAGGACACGGCGGCACTAGAAGGTGGTCGAGACTGGCGACGGAGTGGCAGCCAAGGGAGGGAGCACGCACGGGGTGGACGTCCTGGGCGGAAACGGACCGTGAGAGATCGTGCGATGGTTTTCGCGACGCATTAATGCAGCCCAGCAGTGGATGTATCGTGGCCGGTTACGACAATAGTAATATTCATGGACTTTGGCGGTAATTGTGTTTTTTTTCTTTGCTCGCCACAATCTTCTCAGACACAAGAGGGGGTGACCATGGTGGGCACAAGGGCTCCAAGCGATCACGACTACCCGGGAGGCGAGGACGGAATCCTGGACCCGCAGACGGGCCTGTTTTACCGCGCTCCTCTCTCCCGCCTGCCCGTCGCCGCCACAAGACAGCCCACCGTCATCGCCTCTACCTCCACCATCACCACCACCACCTCCATCGGCACCAGTAGCACCATCAGCAGCACCATAACTGTGCAGGTCAGCGTTACAAAATAGACACCGCAGAGGCGCAAAGTGAAAAGCAAAATGAAAAGTGGAAAGGCCGCAACTAGCCCTAGCTGTAACCGCACCAGCCAACCAGACGATGGCCCTGTCCCAGCCCTTAAACACATTCCTGCGGAGGGAGCTGGTAGGAACGTTGGGTTGCTCGGTCAATGGCCAGGGTCAATGGCGGCGTGGTGTATTCCGCAAATATGCCCGACTGTGAGGGCGGGCACAAGCCGGCGTGAGTAGGTTAAACGTTGAGTTTTATAAGGGCACCACGGGGTGACCAGCCCCTCCCTACCTAGCCCCACCCCACCACCCACCCGGCCCCACCACTCCCCGCTCAGCCCCTCCCCACCCTCCCCACCCAGCCCCTCCCCACCCTCCGCACCCAGCCCCTCCCCACCCTCCACTCTCCATCCAGCCCCACCCCTCCCATTTTTGGATGCACGACGGATGGACGGACACAATAATCCCCTGTGGGCTGGTGTAACCAGGAGGTTCCTACCAGTATCATACGAACCAAACACTCTACCTACCTAACTCCTTCTCACTCCTGCCTAAATCTATAAGTCAGCACCTCCTGCTGCTCAACTCGGAAACTCATCACTCCTTCAGCTCGCCACTCTTGCATCAGCGACGTTGCCGCTAATTTCGAATAAAAACGTCCTTGACCTTTCATCGCTTAATGTTCACGAAACCAAAAATATCAGGCCCCCACTTGCATCATCATCATGAGCAGCGTCATCACAAGCAGCATTATTTGTATTGGTACCAGCGGAGCCAGCTAGAGCATCCTGAGTGGCTGCAGAGTCACAGATATGGGTGTAATGATTCCATACCTTTCAACCCATACGGTCCAGGGAAATTGAGTTTTCAGGTCCGTACGTCGTACAGCCGTTTCAATACGGGCAAAATAAAAATTGTCTATTTGTTTGTGTTTCTCCCTTGTGATGGGCCTTTGTAGAATGAACGTTGAGATGTTTAAGGGGCACGGGGTGACCAATAAGGTCTGAAATGGTCTGTAATAAGGCAGGGCACTGATAAGGGGTTGACCGGTATGCAATTAATCTAGGATTGAAGCTTTCGTGACCACAGGAATCATGTCTTGTGATGACATTGACTTAGGTACAAGCCATCAGCAGGATATTCAACACCACTCGCAGCATCATCGTCGTCATCGTCATCATCACCAGAAACAGCAGTATGATATAGCATTCCCTTCAGCAGCAGCGCCATCAGTAGCAACAACAGAATCAGAATATAGTCGATTATCGATTATCCGGCAGCTTCCAACATTATCCGGCGGTCCCAGGCTGATCCGGCAAAACCGCTCCAAATGCTGTAACCGTTATGGCGATCGGCACCGTGGGAATGACAAAAAAAAGTAGCTACGCTTGATTATAGCATTAAGTATATGCAGTATATTATACACCACATACAACAACTTAAACAATGAAAATACTGCACATTTATACGTTTTCATGACTATTAACTTCAGGAATAAAAACATTAAATATACACGGTGCGATCCGGTGAAAAGTGCCATGTGTAATTCGGAGTTTGCTGGAGCGCCGGTCTAAAGGTTGCATCAGTCGGGCGATAGTCCAACACAAGTTGTTGAAACAAGAGCGTTAGTAGAGTTAGTACATCACTCCATGATTACAGAGTCTTCGAGATTGGAGTGGTTGCAAGTGCGGTACAGTCAATACAGTAACTTTTTACAGTGGGATATTTATTTTTGTCTATTTGGATGTTTATGCCAATTTCACAAAGTAAACAAATTTAAAACGCTAAAAAAAACATGCAAAAGTAAACTATTTAAAATAATGACAGTGATTATCCGGCGTTTTTGAAAAAACGGTGCCCCGTCTCCCCCCCCCCGAAGCCGCTGGATATTCTGTGATCTACTGTAATCGGAATCATAATATTTATTTACAGTGGTGGAATCCGATGAGCTATGAAGCTCTTGTACAGATGTTCAGTAAACATCCAGTTGACAGTTTAACACATCGGCTTTCGTGGCCAATATCATCCATAATAGTTTTTGTTTGGGTTAGATAGCGTAAATATATAAAAGTGTCGTTAAACCCGCAACCACATAAACAGAACGTGGCCAATTCGTCACTAGTACAGCACACCGGTGTGTTGGAGAGCAAAGCCACAACATTTACATTCTGAGTACGACGTTTCGCCAGTAATTACAACCAGCTTCATCAGGCAACAAGCCAGATTTGTGGATAAATCCTCCCGTTTCGTTCCTTCACATCTCACCGCGGGCACACCAAATCCCCTCACCTCCGCCGCCCCATCACCACCGAGGGCTAAACGCATTAAAAGAAACGATTTCCTGCATCCCTTTTGTGGTCGTTTTATTTAAACAGGCGATGAAAAAAAAGTGCCAAATTGATGTCAGGCCTTCTTAAAAGGTTGGGGAAACCACACGAACCACAACTGAGAACGAGAGCATTTTTCCTGCTTTCATTCGAGTCAACGACTCTCTCTCTCGCTCCCTCCCTCCCTTTCTTCTTTAATGCGTCTGTCTCTCTTTTTTTTTTGCGTGTGTCTTCGCGCAGCCTTTGATCACCAAGGGGGGCGCGGTCCCCAAGATAAGTTTTGCGCCGTCCGTGAACCGAGCTGAGGTGCACACCCTCTCGTGCCGGCCTGCTCTGCCGAGTCAAGGACAGAAACCTCTGGTGAGATGATGCCACACCTGCACTCACGAGTGTGCGCGCGTAAGGGTGGTGTTGGCCACCCATCCCCTTCGTGTGCCGTGCCGGCCTTCGTAGGTGGTCGCTAACAGCACTTGCCCCCAGCGGTCTGTTAAGGCTACACGGGGGATCTTTGTCTTTTGTGTATGTGGGGAGCGGTAGGGTAGCGGTTAGCGCGCTGTGTGCTACGAACCCACCGACCAGAGTTCAATTCCCACTCGCAGCCAACACCAGTGACGATGATCTGAACCGGTCCTGAGCCTCCTCTAGGTTGACTCAGCCACAAATGAGGACCTCGTGCAATGTTTAAACAGCACTTGCCCCAACAGTCTGTTGAGGCTGTACAGGGGATCATTGTGTGAGTACATACAGGGGAGCGGTGGCGCAGTGGTTAGCGCTCCGCGCTACGAACCCATCCTACCCGAGTTCGATTCCCGCTCATGGCCATTACCAGTGACGATTATCTGAACCTACTGTTAGTCTTCCCCGCTGGGAATACAAAAGCAGTCAGGCTTGTGGCCTGCTGCCTACGTCCCTCGCTCGTGTACAGTTCCGGCCTTCATAGGGGCTCGCGAACAGCACTTGCCCCAAATGTCTGTGAAGGCTATATGGAGCTGGGGGGGGTGATCTTTGTCTTTTTTTTGTGGGGTGTTAGAGACAATAGATATCGTGATGAGTTGGCATACCCCTGGCCACGGCTAACATCGGTTAGCGAGTGATGTATGAACCAGAGGTCGCAACCGGGTACCCGATACCCATACCCTACCCGATACCCGGCTACCCGTACCCGGCCGGGTACAGGTACGGGTACCCGTTTGCGACCCTGGTGCGGCCAGGTACGGGTACGGGTAGGCCGTGAGTCACTGGTGAGTAACCGTTTGACACTCATTTCCCAACGTCTTGTTTCTTCTCACAATTCAAGTTCCTAGAATCAACCCACCCGCGCCTGCAACATGGCTTCATTCCAGAGGTCGCAATCAGGTACCCGTACCCTACCCGTACCCGGCCGGGTACGGATAGGGTACGGGTACGGCAGGGTACGAGTACCCGTTTGCGACCCTGGTGCGGCCGGGTACGGGTACGGGTAAGGAATCAAAACCCGTTTGCGACCTCTGGTATGAACAGATTCTGTACCACACTGACCGCTGTGATGAGGTGTAGTCAAGCATCCCCCTCACAACCAAAAGGCATGGTGGGGGGGGGGGGCATTGTCCAGCATGGCAGTCACTGCAGCTAAAAATAACTTACCATCAGCAGAGTTGGCCAACACTGTGCGAGACAATCTAGTGCATCGCTGACGTGGTGACTGCTGCTTTTGTAGACATGATGACATTTCCTGCTGCATCGTCCGGGATGTTCTCGGTTAACAGTAATCAGCGTGATATTGATTAATATATTTATTTAATATTAACATTTTTGTTTCTCAATTCCCTGCTGGATGAATGCCTCCTCGAGCTGCGTTGGTCGTGGGGGGATTGTTTTTTACCATACTTCACCACGCTCGTCAGTGTGGGTTAGTGCAGGGGGTTGAGGGGGGGGCGCGGGTTCCAGGACCAGTTCGGCTAGGATTCATTCCCGATGTTAGTCGTGTCCGGCATCGAACTCGGGCCGCCGAGAGCGCAGTGTGCCACGCGTGCGTGCAATTGGACACGAGAAAGCCGTTTAAGTATTATCGACCGCCGGCTCATTGCGTGCTGAGCGCTGTGCACGTGTCGGCAAGGTCGCAGGGCTCCTCGTGATTTGACGGCTGTGTCACGTTCCGTCGTTGGGGGTGTCGACGTCGAGGGCGCGCTGCCACTGATACCTTCGTTTCACTTGGTCAAGCTCGCCCCACGAGACCCGACACTTCGAAACGGCACCACAAACAACGATAACTCTCCGCCACCGCCCTGACACCTTTAGCCGCACTCTTCTTGGCACCAGAGGTGAATGGCGACGCGGTGGCGAGACGTTAACTCCCTCGCCCGGTCTACAGGAGGGTGTGGGTTCGATCCCGACCCTGATGCCTGTATGTTTGGAGTTTGCGTGTTCTCCCCGTGGTCGTGCTGATTTTTCTCCGTGCCCTTTGGTTTTTCCTTCCACATTTAGAATGAATGTGCGCTTCAGGGTATTTGGCTGATATATACTTTCACGTGATAAGCCACTTTGTTGAGCTACCATTTGTGGCCAGGTTGCTTCTAAAAAAGAGCTACATAGCTCAGTGGGCTTCACCTGGTCAAATTGTGTTGTTTTTAGTTTGAGAACGTTTTGAACCTAGCCGCAGTGCCCCGTTTCTAAGTCTAGCACCGCTCGGTCACTAGCGTCGCTCACTGCGGAGAGATCTCTCCGCACTCCGGTCGGCACGGGACGTCGGTTTTCCACTGCGGTGTGCGTTGATGAATAGCGCCGCGGTGCATGTCGACGTGCGATTGCCCGCCAGAGTTTTTGTTTTGTTTTTTGGAAAGTCCCATTCGGCCCGAGGACAGGAAAAAAGGTTCCCCGCTCGCGGCTCACGGAAATGTTTACTGCTGCAGGCAGGGGCTCGCGCGACAGACATCCTGCGGATGTCGATGCTGGAAGCTCGCCTGGACGTGAGTGAAGCGGCCAGGGAGGCCGCGAGGGCGGCGGCGGTGGCGGCGGCGGCGGCAGCGGGCAAGGGGGGGGCAGGCCACGGGCAAGGTCAGGGAGCGGTGACAGCCGTCGTCGGCAGCGGGGGCACGGCGGGCGACGAGAAGAAAATAATAACCGGGCGAATTATCGACCTGCAAAAGTCTGGCGTCCTCAGGTGAGGTTGCGTGCGTGCTTACCTCCCTCCACAGTGGGAAGGCGTGTGCGTGAACACGCGCGGTTATTTTGTTAATCGTTTAGTAGTGGCGTGCGCGGCAAGTTTTTCATATTTGGGCAAAATTTGGACCGTTGACGCCGGCACGCAATGGCCCACTCGCGCGCACGCGTCACAGCGATTCTTCAGCGTCCGTTGGTGTTTACGAATAGTTCGTGGGTCATACTATTAGGTTTTTTTCGGTAAAGTCACGTAGGTAAAAAATAAAAATAATAGAAATAATCATAGAAATAAAAATTATAACGTTACAAGATCCCGTGACGTCATCAGGCCACTGCGGGCCAGCGTCAACGGTCCAAATTTGGCAATTAAAAATTATAAATCACGACGTTTCGGACGCAACACAAGTCTCCGTCATCAGGTGGGACCGTCACAGCTAGATCTACTGTATACAGTGAGGCGAGTTCGTGGGTCAATTTAATAAAAATTGCCAAATTTGGACCGTTGACGCTGGCCCGCAGTGGCCTGATGACGTCACGGGATCTTATAACGTCCATTGTTAAGCAGGACGGCACGCGGTGTCTTTTCGATGAATGTGCCCGCAGTGTTAATCAGGGCGGCCGCTGAATTAGAATCGTTAAGCTCTGCAGCAAGCGGAGAATCGCGCTAACACCATGGCCGTGTGAGAGAGCGTATGCTCGTTCAGTTAGATTTTTTATTTTTTTTATTCAGCAGGAAGGGCTTAATGAGCTGTTATACTCTTCTTCATGGGCATCCTGCGACGGTACGGATGTTATCTTGTGCAGATGTTATACAGGACAGATCTTAGTTATAATCAAGTATCAATGAGTTTCAGCATTTGCTGCATTGGCCATCCACAGCTTTAGGAGGCCTTCATCCAGCAGTGGATTGACAAAAGGCTGTAGAGTTATATTATCATAATTGTTTAGCTATATACTCCAGTGGCAACAGTTTATGAACAATATTTTTAAAGACAACTAAATGTAAAAAAAAAACACTGCAGTAATCGTAGGAATACAAAAACCGCCGCTAACCTCGCGGTTATTCCCGTACCTCACCCAAACAAAGCGGGGAGCAAGGCATGCTGGGAGTGCGACTGGTGCCGACCACGGCGCGGGCATCCGGGAAAACGGGCGACATCGCCGGGCGACATCGTCCCTCAGGTGAGCGCCGCTCCGCTCTATCAGCACACCCCCCCAACGCCCTCTACACCAGGGCCGCTCCAAACCCCCTTTGCTCGTCGCATCGCCCCTATCGGGGGGACCGGTGGCTCAGCGGTCGAGTGATTGGCGGTCGACGTGAACCGTCGTCACCTCTGGGGTCGATGGAACGAGTCCGTAAGCGGTTGTCCCTTTGGATGGACTCGCCTCGACCGTAGGAATGTGCCATTTCCTCCACCACGATTACTATTTACTTCAACAACTATTTTTGTTTATCTTACCAGGTAAGGCCCACTGAGCTAATTAGCTCTTTTTCAGAAGCGACCTGGCCGTAAATGATAGCTCAATGAAGTGGCTTATCACGTGGAAATTTATAGCAGCCAAATACTCTGAAGCGCACGCTGATTCTAAATGTGGAGGGATAAACTGGAGGACCCAGAGAAAAATCCACGTGACCACGGAGAGAACATGCAAATGTACAGGCGTCAGGGTCGGGATTGAACCCATGACCTCCTAGTATACCAGGCAAGGTAGTTCACATATCGCCACCAGCTTAGTGGAGGACTATAGTTTGAGAAATGCTACTCCTAAACAGTGCAAATGATAAAGAGTAAACGTGTCAAATCGGTGACGTACACATTAACATATCTCCATTTTATTAACATAAACAGCGCCTTCAGTTAATGCAAAATGCTGCTTGCGTCAAGCATACTTGGTGACGTAAAGTTAGCTTGCTATACAGCAAGTCCATGAATGTATCTTCTATTATTAAACAATTATAATTAGCCAGGCGGTGGTGGCTATGCGCACCTGTAATCCAGCACTGTGGACGAGTGTGGACTAGCATCATCTATCCCACATCTATAAACACCAATTAATTGGCTGAAAGCATCTTAATGTATATAGAGGACCGCAGAGCTTGGGAAATTGTTGGTAGTCCCGGCTCACTGCCTGGCTGCATTACATCTTGTCGTGAGGTGCAATTTGCATGAACGGCACTATATAAAACCAAACATTGTCACAACATAATATAACTCTCCTTTTGCCCGTCCAAGGATGGGTGTATTGCAGTAAATCTTGCAAGCGAAAAGCAGACCGCGACATGATATTCATTGCATTAATGCGTGTGCAATTTGTAAGGGCGCGGTGACACAGACCTATTTCATTTTAAGGTTATAATCCCTTGTTTATCATGACATCCTTTTTACTTTGATGTCTCAACGGCGTTACGGAGATTGCGTGATGTGAGGGTTTTGCCTTTGTAGTGAGGGTTGTGAGTTGACGCCGAGGAGGGGGGAGGAGGCACCTCGCCTCCCCCCATATGGAGTGACGTCAGCCACTAATTATTATTGATGGAGGGGGGGTGTCCATTTGGAGGACGTCACCTGTTCATGATTATTAATGAGGGGGACTGTTCGATGTGGAGTGACATCATTTGCTCATGATTATTAGTGAGGGGGGTGGATTACTCCATATTGAGTTATTGAGTGACGTCACCCACTCATGAATACTAATGAGCGGGGCTGGTCGATGTGGAGTGACGTCACGAGCGTTAATGACAGTCACTCCTGGGTGATTCTAGTCGGTATGATTGTAACGAGCTATTCTGAAAATGAGTCCGCAAAAACTTTCGGCTGACAACAAAAAACGCTCCGCGTGTGCTTCGTCTGCGTCCGCAGCGACTGGCCGGCTTCCCGATCGTCTGCGGGGGGACCATGCTGATGAGCACCAGCGGCGGTCGAAGCAGCCCGAGCGTCAGCAACTCCAGCGTCGCCGGCGGTGTCGCTGGCGGTGGAGGTGTCGCTGGTGGTGGAGGCGTCGCCGGTGGCGTCGCTGGCGGTGGAGGCGTCGCCGGCGGTGTCGCTGGCAGTGGAGGCGTCGGCGGCGGTGCTGGCGGTGGAGGCGGCGGTGTTGCTGGCGGCGGCGGCAGCGGCAACGAGGGCGGGGCGAGGGGGCCAGCGGGTTCGAGCGGCGCCAGCGTCGTGGTGGAGCCCAGCGGGCTGCTCAACGTGACGGCCTTCACCAGCCAGCGCGTGCGCGAGGACCCCTTTGGGCGGCCGAGGGAGTCGCCCGACTCGGCCTCGGATGACGACGTCGACGAAACGTGATGCGTCGCGTCGCGTCGAGTGCACGGGGACCGTGGTACGTGTGAGTGCGTGTGCGTTATGCGTGCGTTATGTGTGAGTGCGTGCGCGTTACGTGCGCGTTACGTGTGAGTGCGTGCGCGTTACGTGTGCGTTACGTGTGCGTTATGTGTGCGTTACGTGTCAGTGCGTGCACGTTACGTGTGAGTGCGTGCGCGTTACGTGTGAGTGCGTTACGTGTGAGTGCGTGCGCGTTACGTGCGCGTTACGTGCGCATTATGTGAGTGCGTGTGCGTTACGTGTGCGTTACGTGTGAGTGCGTGCGTCGAGCACCACCGAGTGTGCTACGTCAAGTGCGTGCGTGTTACGTGTGTGCGTGTGTGCGTTGAACACCGGGCGTGTTCCGTGCGAGCGCTTGCGTTGAGAGCGAGCGTGTTACATGCGAGTGCGTGTGCGTTTAAGCGCGAGCGCGCATTTACTGTATTTTTATTACTAACCGACCGCCAATGTTATTAAATGTACTTTTTTACGTTTTCAGTTATTTTATTAAATGCCTTCGAGTTGGTTTGGCAACGCGCACAACGTGCGCGCCAACGGTAGGAAATCACGACTCTTATTTGTACCCAGCCTGCACGCATCTTGCTCTTGTGCGACGGCATTTGCTCATAACTTACGTAAAGTGTTTGCAATTGAATCTCCGAGTTGATGTTTTTTTTTTCACGTCATATTATATTTTATTAAAGAGCGTTGAACAGTGGTCATTGCTCATCATTCACTCACGGTAGCCCTTTCATGTTCTGACAAAAGGGATTTTGCCGTGTTAGGCTATGGGAAAATGCGTAATGAATGAAGGTCAAGACGCCTTCACTGCCAGTGCCGTTGACTCCAGCGCACCTCCCGCCGTCCTGCCAGATCCCGCAGCAGTTGAAGGGTCGACATCCAAAATTCAAGGTGCGATGAAATGCTCAAACCGAAGCAAATGCAGATCTATAAATAAAGTTGCGGCAAAATTTTAAAGGCGGCCATCTCATTGAAAGCGAAACTGTCCGTTGGTGATCGCGTTGTTCTCATTGCTTTCCAATGTGGGCAGTAATAAAACGAGGTGTGGTTATATTTGCAGCAGCATGTAAATCCAACCCATATGGTCAAGACGCTGTACAGAAACCAGTTCTAAGAGTGTAGACAAAGTGTCAGAGTGACGGAAACTAGACTGGCTGGCTGGTAGTGTGTAGGGGAGTACATTTTAAACAACAAAAAAATGAATCAACTCACGATACCGACTAATAAAATCCCTGTGAACTCGTGATACGGTCGCTGCATTCATTCTAAAGGGGACACGTTTGCCAGATTCTGGTGAACGTCACAGGAAAAATAACAATTCGTGCGGTTGACTTCCCCCCCCCCCCCCCCCCTCTTGCCCCGACCAACGTCTTAGTGATGCTGCGAGAGATCGCATTGCAAAGGTTTCTGGGGGGAAAGTGTTTGCGACGAGCTGCGTAAATATTCTGGTAAGCCAAAGGAATGAATTGACCTTTCTTGTTCCTCTGCCTCTTTCCTATACAACTCTGTTGTCTTGAGTTTCGTCGCACTTCCCGTACTTTGCAGATAGTACGATGAAGGCTTTGATGATCATCTTTAAAGCTTTTAAATAGAACCCACAGAGGCATTCGGCACGTGAAGCTCATCTGTGTCTGTGTCATAATGACCTAGCATTAAACTTTTTCTGGCTATACTCAGATTTAAGTGTGAATTTGTGAGTTGCCTTGCAATGGTGGCTGCTTTGTCAATGCACTGCTGGATAGAGGACCTACTCATCAGGGTTGCCATCACCTCTCCAGGTTTGACCTGGACAGATGGCCTGGACAGTCGAAGAATTGGAAACGTAAACTAAACATTTCGATTTAAAGCTTTCGTGACTGCAGGGATTCATCTTCTTGGTTCTTTCGGTAAACACGTAGAAGGGAAATAATAAAATAATACAAATAAAACAATAAAACAATTCTCACGACGTTTCGGCCACAACGCAAGCAGCCGTCCTCAGGTGTTTTTCCGACAGACCTGTTCTTCACCTGAGGACGGCTGCTTGCGTTGTGGCCGAAACGTCGGGAGAATTGTATTTTATTATGTTTAATTTTTATTATTTTATTATTTCCCTTCTACGCGAGTTTACTGAAAGAACCAAGAAGGTAAACTAAACCATTTTTATTTTACCAGGTAGAGCCCACTGAGATGTGTATAGCTCTTTTTTAGAAGCGACCTGGCCACAAATGATAGCTCAACGAAGTGGCTTATCGTGTGGAAATTTATAGCTGCAAAATAACTCTTGAACGCACGTTCATTCTAAATGTGGAGGGGAAAACCGGATGACCCAGAGAAAAAAACATGCGTCCACGGGGAGAACATACAAACTCCAAATATACGGGTGTCAGGGTCGGGATCGAACCCACGACCTCCTGTATACCAGGCGAGGTCGTTAACATCGCGCCATTGTGGCACTCTTGTCCAGATGGCAGGAATTGAGTTCTAAAGAGATCTGGTGCCCACATTGTGTTGAACGGTTTTGAGAATAGACCTCGTGTGCTGCCGACTGAGAAATAAGTTTGGGTTGCGCTTTGCCGTAGGAAAGTTGGCAACCCCACTGCCCCCGTTCCGTATCGGACGTGGTAGTTGTGTTACCACCCTCTACCACACTGCTGCTCGGCCCTGGCCCGCGTTCAAATTTAGGTCGCTGGGTTCATGGTGCGGAGCACGAACCACTGCGCCACCGCTCCATCCGCAAGGAACACGGCGAGAGTAAAATAAGCAACGCTCAGAATTTGAACAATCGGGCACACGGTGGTTTGATTGGGTAAACACATCTCATGGGAACATTTCAGTCGATATAATAGATGTACAGGCGGTTTTCTGAACGCATTGTCAAAACACAAAAAAGATCAAAGTAATTGATGTCCTGCTCAAAACCTCTAGAGAGTGCTCATTCCATTTTACAGCCCTGAGCCAGTGGTGGCGTTTCCACATTCCTATGGCAGGAACGGGGGGTGGGCAGGTCTCTCCACAGGACGCCCACTTTCACAAAATGGTACTCATTCTCACGACCCTGAAGCGATGATGGGTTAAGTCAACCGGCAACCTCGGGTTTCGAACTCGCAAACTTCCAATTGCGAGCCGCTCGCTCTTCTGCTGACCCACCGGGTTGGCTTCGTACACCAACACATTGGTGTTTTTTTTTACAATGACTTTTCAAAATATATTTGATCTAAAAGACGATGCAAATCTCTATTTGTGTACAAGCCTCGACTGCTGCGATTAATTTACTGCCGTATTCACAAGTGTCTCATTCGATTCGAACAACCTTTGCAATGCTATAGGGGCAATGCTGCCGGGTTGACCTTCGAACTTTAAGGAATGCAAATGTTTGCGCGAGAATTGGGAGTTCAGCCATCTTCAAACATGAACAGAAAAAAATGCAGAGGAGGCTCGAACAATGAATACAGTGTCCAAGAGCGCCGTCGGTAGCCCTTTAGAGTTCCAGTGTTCAAATCGAGGGTTCCAGCCACCTGTCAATAACCCTGGTTCTCATGTGTAGCGAGTTGATCGTTTCAGCTGGGTCATCGTTGGCTACACACACACAAAAACACTGTCAACTATATCTCGGGTCACCCCTTCATTTGGCTATGTTCCATCTCTCGGGGATTAAATTTTTTTTATCCCGTTTGCTACGCGACGCAGTGTGTACAGGGCATGTGAAAGGTGTGGTCCTTTTGGCTAAAGTGGCCAATTGAGGTGACCTCAAGTATTTTAAGTGGAGCGAGTCTGTGGTCTCAGCCTCATTTTTCTCGGTTTAAAGCTTTCGTGACTGCAGGGATTCATCTTCTTGGTTCTTTCGGTAAAGTCACGTAGAAGGGAAATAATAAAATAATAATAAAATGTACATAATAAAATAAAATTCTCACGACGTTTCGGCCACAACGCAAGCAGCCGTCCTCAAGTGAAGAACAGGTCTGTCTGAAAGACAGCGTCTGAATGTCTGTCTTTCCGACAGACCTGTTCTTCACCTGAGGACGGCTGCTTGCGTTGTGGCCAAAACGTCGTGAGAATTGTATTTTATTATGTTGTATTTTTATAATTGTATTATTTCCCTTCTACGTGACTTTACCGAAAGAACCAAGAAGATAGTTTTCTCGGGTTAAATATTTCTGTTGCAGGGCCCTGCGGTGGCGACAATGTTAACTGCCTCGCCTGGTTTACAGCAGGTCGTGGATTAGACCCCAACCCTGACGCCTGCTGCTGCTGCTGCTGTATATTTGAAGTGTGCATGTTCTGTCTCCCTGTGGTCGCGTGGATTTTTCTCCGGGTCCTCCGGTATTTTCCCTCCACATTGAGAAACGTGCGTTCAGAGGATTTGACTGCTATAAATGTTCACGTGATAAGCCACTTCGTTGAGCTATCATTAGTAATAGCCAGGTCGCTTCTGCAAAAGATTGATATAGCTCAGTGGGCCTTACCTGGTATAATGAAAAAAATAGTTTAGTTTTATCGTTTAGAGTAACACTTTTTGCAGACCATTTTAAATCAAGGGACTTCAGTAACCTTCTGTGACCTCATCTTTTTGGGTCGTTCTCTAACCTGGGTGCGAATGCCGATGTGATGACGAAGAATTTTCAAGTCCATCGTTGCCGCACGGGCAGGAACTTTCCTCTCTCTTGCGATGGGCTTCTCGCTAGTTTTACTGTAAGTGCCGCTGATGTGGTTTTCGGAATTGTTTAAAGTGGAGCTCTTCTGAGAAACGAAGGCGCTTTTTTATTCAATAAAGCTGTTGTGGGAATGCCGTGGCCAATCGTCGGGGAAATCTAAAAAAGGGACCCTTCTGGTTGTTTTTTCCGCTGCACTCCCCATCTTTTGGAGCGAAAAGAAAAGTTTGCTAAACAAAATTCCCCGGGGCATCCATTCGAAAGACCCCGGCAACTGTGCGAAAGATTTTCCGCAACCCTGCGGCCTATTTCACTGGAAGCGTTTTCACTGGCGGTGTCAAATTGTCCATAATGACCGCATTTAATTAACAAAAATTACTGGTGCTTTCCCCCGGCGGTGACCGATGAGTACGGTTGGCTACGTACGGTGCAAAAGAATTTCGATTTAAAGTTTTCGTGACTGCAGGGATTCACCTTCTTGGTTCTTTCAGTAAAGTCACGTAGAAGGGAAGTAATAAAATAATAAAAATAAAACATAATAAAATAATTCTCACGACGTTTCGGCCACAACGCAAGCAGCCGTCCTCAGGTGAAGACCAGGTCTGTCAGGGAGACAGCGTCTGAAGTTAGTCTTCACCTGAGGACGGCTCCTTGCGTTGTGGCCGAAACGTCGTGAGAACTATTTTATTATGTTTTATTATTTTATTATTTCCCTTCTACGTGACTTTACCGAAAGAACCAAGAAGGTGCGAAAGAAGTTTGCCACGCGTACGTGCATGACTTAGGGATTTGCTGCGGTGACGTGCACGGAGATTATCCGTTCCGAAATGATGTCGGCGAAACGAGCGCTGCGAGTTGGCGCTGTAGGGTGGCTTGGTGGTAAAACTCGTGCCTCTCACCAAGAAACCCGAGGTTTGATTCCTGACTCGGGTGCCTTTCTGCGTTACAGTACTTTGAACGTTCTCGGCCCCGTTCTGTATGGCTTTCCTCCGGGCTGTCCCGTTTCCTGCCATAAAAAAAAAACACTGTGACTGGTATTGGCCAAACGTCCCACTTGCCGAAAACAATGCCTGCAATTACTCATTTGCGAGTACACACTGCAACATCGCCCCCCTAACTGCAAAAAACTTGGCAGGACCTTCCTAAAAAAATGGCTTTTCTGGGTAAACCAAGTGCAATAGTAAATAACTAAAACTTTTCGGTAACAGATTTTAGTGGCAAGTGGGCACTGGGTTTTCACATGCTTAATTATTGACAATGTATATCTATCAATTTGGTGGTGTCTCTTTTTTTTAATTATAAATAATCATGCATGTGTTCTCTAAATAGTCCAGATTGATGGGACAATTGGCTAGGAGGGGTGACGTCCGATGGTCAAGAGTGGCGGTCGAGGAACGGAACGCGTCCGATGGGACGTCCAACCGAGGCGATGCCGGGCGGATTGTTACAAGAGAGTAGGAAGTGGATTGGGGAGGCCTTCTGGCAGTGGATGAACCATGGCTGATGATTACATACTTCAACCCAGGTGGTTATTTATAACCACGAGGGTGTGACACATTTATTTTGGCCCAAGCAAATCCGATCAAACAATGGGCCTTGCTTGCTTGGTCCCATCAACGTGTAGACGAGGAATTGAGATGCTGGTGACGTATTGCCCCCACCGAAGAGTAACGTCAGTAGAGGGACCCAGGCAAGGCCAATGAGTCAGATTCCTTCCATAACCTTTCTGTCGCAGGTGCTGGCTAAAGTATTGCCTCCTCGGGATAGAGCCGGCCTGTTTGGGTGACACTAATGCCCGAGTGAATCATGGCGCAGGCACCTGGGCCCGGAGTGATTGGAAGGCACAGGGCAGATCAGCTCAATAACAACGGCAGAAGGCTGCTCAACTTCTGCGTGGCTCCGTGAACTTGTGATCACCAACGCGCTGTTCCGGCACCGGCGCAACCACGACAACGTCAAGGATGCACGCCGGGTCGAAGCAAGAACAGCTGCTGGACTACACAGCGACAAACCCCTGCCCCGGTCCCGACACGCGTTCACAACCGTACCACGGA